AGCCAAATCTTCACTTCGTAGTGCTGCAAAATAGTCTTGAACCTTCACGAGGGGCACGGGTTTGAAGCGGATGGAAGCTCATCGTTACAGCATGAGCTTAAATCAAGGCACTCTTCGATGTCCAGCCGTCCGTCGCCGGAGGTGTCAGCATCATGGAACAAAGCCGACATCTTGGAAACATGCGTACGCATGGCCCGCTGCTTCTCGCGGACCATCACAGTGTCATCCATGTGGGCCACCTGCTTTGGCGACGTTGGGTCATCGCCGCGACACGACACTACGTAGCACTACTTAGTGCTTGTCTCCAGGCCGTCGACCGTACAAGCCGAGCAAAGACATCCTATCCCATCTGCTGTTTGCCGGATGCCTTGAATGTTTCTTGCATTAAAACGCCGTTTATGACGCCGACCACAGCGAAGCCCATCGTCAATTTGTGGAACAAGCCTCAGTAACACAAGTGTAACCACATGTATCTGAGGGAGCCCTGAGAAAGAAACAGCAGCATGCTCGTATTCCTCAAACCGCACGACAAGGCGAGAGGCAGAAGATCATCCACCACTCGCTGACTTCTTCCATCAGCAGGCGACACACAGGAGGCCAGTTGGCTAGTGTCATTTCCTGAGTTCATGTTGCTTCTCAGTCACCAAACGCTTCCAGGAACTGCTCCGGTACGGACGAAAGCAAAAGAAGAACAGCGCTCAGTACTCGAGAACCAAGTCTCGAAGAGCGACAGCAAGGCGCGGGTGAAGGTGCCGAAGTATTCCTTGATATCAGCTTTTCGGCAGTCAGAGTGGTATATGTTTTCTGCCGGACCCTCACTCTTTTTTGGACAAGGCAAAAACCATCCCTCGACGAGGGACTTCAAATTACATATGCAGCAGCAGAAAGAGAAAGGCAGCGCACTGGCACCTCTCAGCAGCTCCAAAAAACGATCTGGGGACTGTCGTCACCGAGGGGCGAAGACACGCAACTGTGCCTCCTTCCCTGCCGCGTCGGCATTCTCGTCGAAGTAGAAGCCTTGCGGTGGAGCCAGCGGCATGCGGTGCAACTCGTGCAGGATTTCGGGCCCTGCTGAAGGTTTGCAGCTAGGGTGGTAACACGTGCCGCCGGAAGTCGCAAAGCACACTCGGAATCCAGGGCTTGTGTTGGTCTGCACAATACTCCAGTCGAAGCCGTAGGAACTATAAGGCAAGACCGGGGCACTCGCCTGTCGCGTTCATCATCATCATTCTCATCATCATCATCGTCGTCATGGCCGTCACAATTGTCCCCCCGTCATCGTCACTGCCATGGTCAATATTTTTCAAACAGCGGACTTGGTTCTTAAGAACAACCTGGGCAGCACTGTGGACAAGACTGAAATCTGAGAACTTTAAATGCCCAAGGTGCCATACAGGAACTGCTGGACGATCAGCGCAAAAAGCATCTGGCAGACGAACAACCTGAAATGCTCCACGTAGCAAGCACGTGCATGCACAACTCACTCCTGCAACATTGAACAAACTCTGAAGCCAACGCGCACCGACGACTAAACAATCTCGAACGGGCCCAAGCGTCCGATATGGCCGCCCATCAACTGAAACCCGGCAGACAACAGAATGGGCGAGTCGCAAGGCGATCGTCCACCCAAGGACCATGAAGCTGCTCCGAATGGCGGTGGTCATCAGGAACAGAGCGTCGAACTCTTTCCTGAGTGCTTTGTCTAGACTGCGAGAGGGGATTTGAGGTGTCGTGCCCTCTAAGCTTGTCGAGTACGATCTGGATCAGCAACGCGTGCTACGTAGGTTTAAGGAAAGTTAGGAATTGGGAGTCGACGACGATGAACTCGAAGTTTCTACAAACAATAGCACGCAAGCGGGGCTCATGCGCCGCACCAGGCGCAGCATGCGAAGAAGGCGGAAGAGACGGCCGAGCCGCAATATCTGACCTGTTGGAAGCGATTCCGGTTGTTGTTCATCCTTGCCGTTGCAATTGCAACTGTCGGATTACCGCGGCTACCACCCATTTCAGACCGTGCCGCTTCTTGAGCCCCCAAAGCCAAACTCTCAAAAGGCAGCCAAAGGGAACCTCCGGTCCTACGGCTCCAGTGTCCAGGTCTACAAGCAAGGTTAACGTAGACCCTGCCGACCTTGCACATAACCGATATGGAAAGCATGCTGAAGAGAAGACTGCTCTGAGAACATAATTGGAAGCAAGAGCGACTGTTCACCGGAAGCGTTCGCCAGATCTTCCCAAACAGCCATACCTGAGCTTTAGTGCAGGTCCGGCTTTGGAGCTTTCCCGTTGACGTGCATGTACTGGTGGCTGACTTTCCTCGGACATTTACCATGATTATCGTAAGCTCTCAGATGAGGTCTGTTAAATGAGACCAAGAATCAAGGCTGCCTACTAGAAAGTCAATTCACCCCTTTCCTAGGCTCACTGCTCCGAGGCACAACGACCACGGTGGCGTCAAGCCAGTTCCAACCTTCTGCGAAGAAATGCAGACGCTCGGCATACAGCCGCAGTACCACCTTAGGCAGGATGGTCGCAAGCAGCACCACGAGACCGGGCCTACTGTGTCCATGATCATGTCTCGAGCTCTAGCTTAGAAAAGAATCCTTTGGAACGCCTTCTGAAGCACCATGACCCTGCCGGGTGCCTCGATCGTGAAAATGACGCCGAAGAACATCTCGATCACAGGAAACACGTCTTCAGCACCTTCTATTCAGCCGATGACATCCGCACCCCGAATGCTTCAAGACTCTCAAGAAGCGACGCTGGCGACTGACATGTCCACAACGAGCAGGCCTGGCCACAGCTGGTGGGCAGTCAGAGAGATCTCGTCGCGCTTGAATCCGAGTGCCTCCAAAAGGTCTGCGATTTGCGGTGCTGCGGATTTTGCCGGAGTAGCACAACTGAAGCTTCCTAAAGGGTATGCCTCCCGCTCCCCTCAATGGTGTGTAGTAGTGTTGGGAAAGTACGAAGCCTGAGTGCCCTGCCCCGTAGAAAACCGTCCCTGTGCACTCTGCATAAAGTACCCTAATCAGCCTCGGCCATCTCGAAGCCTCGATACCTGAGCGCATGCAGATCTGTGGGAGAGTTGTAGGGTCGTATGCTCACGCTGGCTCTTCTCGGCTGGAATCGAAAACATCCTCTTCTTTACGCTGGCCCTCATGCCCTTTCCTGTTCGGTAGGGTGCAACTAAAACAATAGGACAACATCAACCGAAACTATGCTCTATGGTTTGAGGCCAAACGACCACGGCCACCTTACCAGCCCCTGCCATTGTGGCAGCATCTGAGCTCCCGAGCATCTCCGGGATTCCATCTACCCTCATCTCCAACAAGTGTAGCGCCAGAATTGGGGTATATATCCTGAACCGATGCAGGCCTCGAAGCCCTTGACACCTGTATGCTAAGACACGGGGAGAGGGAGAGCGAGAGAAAGAGATTTCAACAGCATGCCACACAGCAACAATGTTGCGCTCTTTGCTGCTGCTATGCTTGCAGCGGCTATGGAAGCCCTGCAACTAACTTTCTAAGAAAGAAGAAAGAACGAAAGAACCAAAGAAAGAAAGAAAGAAGAAAGAGAGAGAGATAAAGAGAGAGAGAGAGAGACACAGAGAGAGACAGAGAGAGAGAGAAAGAGAGAGAGAGGGGGAGAGAG